AAGGCAAGCTTTGTGTCCTGGGAGGTTTGGGGTGGCTACAGGACTAGGAGACAGATTTATTGAGCTGGGGAGAGGCATAGTAAAAGCTGTGACCTCTGTGTTACTCTGCTTGCTCAAGGACTGCAGAGATGCTAAATTGTCTTGGAAGGGACTTATAAGTAACAGAGCATAGCGATTTCTTGCAGTTTCCAGCACCAGATAACACAACCAGTCCGGATTCCAGGCTCTGCCCCCAGGAGAGATGAGAGGTGGAACAAGCTTCAGGTGCTTTTCAGGGCTGGGATTTGTTGCTATGCGTGCAGGGGACATTAGCTTAGAGAAGCATTTCATGAAATTTCAGCAAATGGCCCAAGAATCTCTCAGTCAATAGGTTGATCAGAGCCAGGATGACATGCTCAGAGGCACTCTTCTACTCATTGCATGTTAATCTGTTGAACCCTAATCCTTTACTGAGATTCTTGAAACTTGCTATCAGATGGATGCAAGAATGCCTTGGCAGAAACAGTCCTTTTCTGTTGGGTGATATCAATAGTTCTGTGACGCACAAAGTTGCTTTGTTTGCTTTGGCAGCAAAAAGGATCAGGAAGAGAGAATTAGGCAAAACTGCTAGAAACTGCAACGGAGATTCAAAAATAAATTGCGATGAATTTCTGTTCATAGTATATTTAAATTTATTTGTATTTTATATTGTTGAAATACTTGGGTTTGTTGCCTATGCACATACATGTGGTGTCTTTGTCATGGCCTTTGGCTAGTACAACGAGCTTTTTTGAACCTTGATAAAATAAATTCATGGAGGAGAAGGCTGTTAGTGCTAATGGTAACTCTAGTATCAAAAGCAGTGTGCCTGAAAACTAGGATGGACGCACGCATGTCTGTTTGTGAATTCCCATGAGCAGCTAGTTGACCGACTGTGTGAACAGCATGCTGGACTAGATGAACAGCCTCTGAGTGGGACGGTGTAAATTCCTGCAAGAGCAGCGGGTTTGACCTGATGGCCTTCATGGCCCCTTCCAACTCTGCTCTTCGGTGGTTCTATGACCCTTGATGTGATCCATGATGACTCTTCTCGTGTTCTTATCGGGTGCTGAAAAATTAAATTCAGAAGGGAGCCCAACTGTACTGAGAACAACAATAGACCCAAGCGTGGTCTCCAGATATTGGAAGGGCTATCCTACAGAAGATGGCACAGAACTCGCTCTGCTCCTGCAGGGGCTGCAACGGGATGGAAAATGCGAGAAATTCAATTTTGGCTAAGCATGAGTAGAAGTTTCCTAAGGGTTGGAGCTGTTCCATGGTGGAACAATTGCTCACCAGCACTGGGAGTATCTAAACCAAGGTTGTCAATGCCAGGTGTGCTGCGGCTACACCCTTGAGGTGAGAGCCTGCACTGATTGGAGGTTAAGCCAACTAGATGACCTTCAAGGTCACTTCTAGCTCTGTGATCCTTTGATCCTAGAACTGTAGCATTCCCGTTCTCTCTTTGCCTTTTAGCTTATCAGCTCAGCTGGGTTCACCCCTCCACAATTAATCCCATCTTCTAAGGCACAACAAGCAAAGTGCCACTGTACATTGGTGGGTTCTAGATTTGGGCCTCTTCCTCTTTTTCTCAATTACTCTTTTCTACAGTGATGTTGCCTGAGAGGCAAGAGCTCAAACTAAACCCAGTCTTGGGAGTGGGGAGGGCTCAGCCCCCATCCCCTTCAGCCTCCTGTTCTCCTTTCCTCAGATCTCTGGGGCTTAACCTGGTCCTCCTAATTTTACTGCAACTATGAGGTCTTCCCTTGAAGCCTTGTAGTAGTACCTGCAAACCGAACCCTTCTTTACTCAGCTTGTTTAAGACGATGCTGATGATTTCTTGCATTCTATACCACCAAAGCTCTCTGTGGTGCTACTTGGATGGTGAGCAAATGCAATGCAGATGCAAATTAAAAATGGGGTCTCAATATGAAAAACACTCTATTTAATTTGTAGTGTTCAGGTTTAGAAGCCGTCCGAGTGAGACAACAGCTAGAGTCGATGGATCCATCATGAGGGTGAAACCCCATGCTCAACTCTCAGGTGAACACTGAAGCAGACAGTTTTGTGTCTGAGTTGTTTTATTTTTTTATTTTTTAGAGAAGGGGAGATCCCTTTACATCAAGGGCGCAGAACCTTCTTCAATCCAAGGATCATATTCCATTTTGGAGAACCTTTGGAGGATCAAAATACCACTCCCCCCTCCCAAGCATATTTTAGTATAAAACTCTTACTGCAAGTAACTAACTCTTAGAAGAGTTATACCGGCCTACTGGAATGGGAAAGAAAACTGTGCAAAAGTGGGAAAAGAAACAAATTATTGGTGATCATGGGAAAAGGCGTGGGATGCAGGACAAGGTCTGTAGCCCTCTGATGAATCTGGAAGGGTCTACTTCCCTGCTTTGCTTTGTTCTGGGCTATTTCAGCCTTCGGTGACATGTTCTTCTTCAAGATGCCAACAGCCCCAGGCTCCACTGAGATGCGATGCCAAGCACTCCTCTGGCCATTGCATGCTTGATTTTCCTTACAGCAATGAGAGGGTCCACATTACATTACAACCACAGGGGAGGGAAAGAAGATAGGGCAGGTTGCCCTGCCACACTTCTCCTCTGGATGCCACCACCACTGTCCCTTGCCCCATGGAGGTTGTCTACCTGGGGAAAGTTGAGGACCACTGGAGGTGGCCTCATTCTGAGTTCTCCACAGAGGATGTGGCAGTTGCTTCCTGTTGTTTCAGGCAGGTGTCTTTTGGAGTCCTACCTGGAGATGCCACGGTTTGAAGCTGGCAGCTCTGATATGCAAAGCCTTTGCTCCACTGTTGGACCACGGCCCTTCCATTCATGGCAGCTTCCTCTCTTCCCGCCCACCTGCCGTGGAGCAAGTATATGCCAAAGCTGGACCACCATCTCCGCACTTGCCATCCAGGAAGGAGAAAAAGGCACAGGGAGGTCAATTGCGGGCTTAACATTGTTTGGCCCTTGTTCCCGCTATCAATCTATGCTTGGGTCATACCATTTCAGACTGATGTCTCGAAGTTCCATGGTTCCCTCGGTGTCCAAACAAAGTGTCATCGAGAAACACCCTAGCCTAGTTTTCGCCTTAGCATGCTATTCTTACCTTTGTTTTTATATATTTGGGCATTTTTAATATGTGGCAAAACAAACTCTGTGACTTCCCTCCATGCCAGCACACACACGATCTGAAATGGTATGGCTTGCGATTGTGAGGTGTCCTCTTTTACAGAGGACACTCCTCTATGTGAAGGGTTGCTAGATGGTACCCCTCCAGTGAAGGGGGCCCTCAGTTCCATGTTTAAATGTAGCCCTAAGAGACATCAGCCATCAGCAGTGAGCACCCGGGCATCAGACTGAACTGTAGGCACACAAGTGACCTGGCCAAAATCTTCTCCGCTATGGTGAGAGGTACGCTCTTTCCATTGAAATTTTAATTATTTCTGACATTGCATCCATAGCTGTAAGATGGCATATGAAAATGCCATCCAACTCACTGCCCTCTTTTCCTTTTGTTTTGCTAATGTAATCCCCTCCCCTCCTTTTATTGGGGATTCTCAAGTGGCCAGCCTAACCCAGATGCATATTAGCCATTTCCATCAGAAAACAGGGCTATTTACAGTGTACTTTGAAGTTGCTAATACATGGTTAATATAGGAGAAGACAGAGTTGGAACAACACGCTCAAGTGCTTTGCTCGGTGAGAATGGTTGGTGGCCAGAGGGTGGGAAGGCACTGAAGCATCGGTTTCTTAAATCCATGAAAAGAGTCAGAGTATGCAAAGCTATTCTTGAAATCACCCTCAGAGAAAAGCACAGGAGGCTGGTGGGGCAGCGGACCCTTTCCAGGTTGCCATCTGAACGTTTAAGGAGTGATGGATGGTGTGGGACCTATTTTGGGGATAGGGTTAACCATTAAAGTACTGACTGAAACCCAGAGTGGATACACTGCCCTGCTGGCACTGGAGTTACCAACCCCCAGTGGAGAAAAAGTAACGAGTCTCATGGAAATAAGACTCAGCTTGCTCTGCATCTCAGTCACTGCATGATGCTCAGATCCTGCTGCAAAGTGCAAGTATCAAAAGACGGGCTTACATTTTACCCAGGTCCTTAAAATGACCAAATAAATTAGCAGTTGTGAAACACACACACAGATGTACGTGTGCCTACTTTTGGCTGTTTCACCGGCTTCCGTATTCTTTACAGTTGCCATGAAGACAGATGCATCCTTGAAAAAGTCAGTGAGGCAGCCTGGGTGGAACGAGCCAAAATTTCTAGGAAATGTTTTGGGCAAAATTCTCTGTGAGAAGTTCCTTCCCGCTGCTTTCACTGCTCCCTTGGCCAGAAAAGGCCATTTTGTGGATTAGTCACCCAATATTTGCACCCTTTTTTTGCTGGTGGCAGCTCTTCCCTCTACACACAGATGCACGGGTGAGCAGGATGATTCGACTGTTCCAGCACCATAGCGGGAAATGGTGGTGGGAATGCCAGCACAGATGCTCCACTGTGTTGCCGGCAAAGGGAAGTCTCCACTGGAGAATTGCACATCTCCGGAGAATATTCAGCAGATTCCTGTAGAGACATGCAAGCACTCAAGACTACGTCCCACGTCATGGGGGCCAGGCAGTGGATTCGCACTCTTGCAACAGGGCTTGTCCTTCTCTCGCATCCTCTGCTCCCACCCCAAATCTGGTCCGGACAGTTCTCCCAGTGCTCACAAGCACATGGGGGGCGGGCTGCAGGGAAGAGGGAGAATATCTTTGACCAGCAGTGTCCGTTCTGCCAGCAGATGGTCACTGCAGTTTAGGTACCCCTCTCTTTCAGGACCGGTGGACACCCAGGAGAATATCAGGAAGCTGTCCGGGCTCAGCCTGTCGCGCCGTGAAACGTTCCACAGCCGCCAGTCCACCAGCCTTTCACGGAGAGTCGAAGCCGTGAGTCATGCGGGGTTTCCCCAGGAGTTAGGAGCCCCACTAGAGGCAGTGGTTGATTGCGGAGGTCCAGGACGTGTGGCTGCACCTGCTTTCCTGGAGAGGGGAAGGGATGCCCTCGTGGGGCTTGAGGTGGCCCACTGAGCTCATCAGCCGGGAAGGCACTGAAAAGTTATAACCGTAGAAGCCGTAGGGGGGGTGCAGAGCACAATGCAGCGCTTCCCGGGTGACGGGGCCTGTGGGGAAAACGTTTCCTGATGCATGTAAACCGTACAGCACGTGCCCCACGGAGCCGGGCCCCTGGGGGCTGGGGAGGGCTGAGTCTTCCGCTTTGCCACTTTTGGCATTGGCGATGCTGAGAGAAGACAGTGGGGGCACCTCCACCATGAAGTGGGGCAAAAGCGGGGGGCTGGCAGTGCTGCCCAGTTTGTGGTGGCCTGGATACATCAGCGACGGCTGTCTTAAAAGGCTGGTCGGGCAGATCTTGTAGCAGATGGGCAGGCCAAGGTGGTGGAGGTACGAATCTGGACAGGTCGTCCCAAGGTTGGCCGCGGACAGGTGGAATGTTGGAGGAGAACAGGAAGGGGAGAGGAGGGAGCCGAGGGGGGATGGGGTGCCCCCGGTGGATGTCGCGGGGGAAGATCCAGGGCTTCCTCCTACAATAAAGCAAGCAGACTAATGTCATTCAAGGCTAGCCAATCAGGGAGCATCATTTTGTCTCTTTCCCGGAATCCCCAGGGAGGTACAGTGCTCTCTTATTCCACAACCGCCCCGTATGAACTCACTGACCTTTTGGGGAGGATGGGCACACGGGGAATGTTGAGAAGGCATTGGGGCAGCCTTGCAAAGTGCTTGCCAGGGCAGTGGGGAGGAGGGGGCATTCACACAGTGACTGTCAGGATGGGTGTGGGAGCCCTGGCAGTTGACCTGTGGCGCCTCCCAGGGCAAGATTCTGTCTCCAGTCCTGATGGGGCGGGTCCTTCAAAGATGCAGGGCGAGGTGTCGGCAGCATCTGGGTGACACACCTCTGCATTTTAGAGACTGGGGGACAGCTGGTGGGGCCACGGAAGGGGGCATAGCTTTCTGGGGAACCCCAGAGGGCCAAATTGGGTCTCCTAGAGAGCATGATTTGGTCCCCTGCCCAAATGATCTTCAGTTCTGGCTTATTCTCTACCCTGCAGATGCTTTCTGTTACCAGCTCTATAATTCCTTTTCTTTAGCCATCCTCAAAAATTTTAGACAGGACAAAATCCTGGAATGCTGGTGTTTGTGGGACTTTTGCACTGAAAGATCTGGAAGGTTATATTCTCAGGCAGGCAGGCAGGCAGGCAGAAAGACATGCATCCGTCATTCCATACAGAGGGACTGCTTAGGCTCTCCAGACCCAGCAGGAAAATCTGTCGCCTGCCAGCCTGGAGAGAGGCTGCCCCGCATGTTGGCAGTGCTGGGGTAACTGGCCCCATGGCTGGACTCCACATGAGGGAGGCTCCTCAGGGAGATAGAGCTGGGCGGCTTTGGCTTTCCAGGTGGCAGGGCATGGCGACTCCCATCCTGCCTGGCTGTGTCTCCTGCTGGCCAGCCCCACAGCATCTGGAAGGCCATGAGTTGCCCGTGCCCTGGCGCCAAATTAAGAGAGGTCTCAGGCATGAAATCGATTAGCCTCATTGAAGAGACAGTGGATGTATGACTTGGCAGAAGTGGTAAGACCAGTTGACGCGTACCCACACAAAATCACCAAGAGCCATTTTTGGCAACTGGTTCCTGGTGTCAGTCTCAAGAGAAGGGGATTGGGGCTCCGGTCAGTTGGCAGACCTCCCCTAGGCGTCTATTTTACCATGTTTGTTTTATTTAGAAAGTATTGATTATGCCATTCACACACTGCTTTGGAGAACATTAGAAGTGGAACGAGCGTTCCTTGCGATCAAACGTACATAATTGTCCCTCCCAGAATGTAAACCTTGGTATTTATCCAAGCTGTAAGCTTTCAGCAATTTATTGAATAGATTAATGGGCAAAAGCTTCTAAAAGCAGAATAAAAAGTCCCCTTTGATTAATCAGGAAGGCTCAGAATAAGTCCAAGACTTGGGATTCTCAAAGGGGAAACTGCCTGCGGGCCCCCAAGATGCTCCAACTCCCTCTTCGCTGTGCTGATGAAAAAGAAATTTAGAACGGATGTTTCCTCCATCCATTTGGCATTCAAAGCCAGCAGACAGTTTAGCTTTCAGAGCAAATTCTTGCAACTTCTCATGGTAGGAACCATAACAATAATAATAATAAAGAAAAAAAGCACTCCAACTAGTGGTCTCCTACTGAACTAAGTGTCAATACAGTTAATGCCTGGGTTTAAACAATAAGCCACACTCAAGAATGGGTTATTGGGGAACAACCATTTGTTGTTGAAATGTGGATCATCAGGTTATCTGAACCCAACTCTGCTGGGAAGCCATGACTTGTTAGCCACAAACACAACTCATGAGCAGAAACCATGGTCTGTTGTGGGGTTGTGAGCTGTGGATTGTTAACCACCACCTGTTATTTCATCTGGGTCCAGACAACATGCTAACCCAAGTTTCACCAACCCACAGTTCAAAAATAGCATACCCTCAATGCATACCTAACGTTTCAGTGCGGATTATCATATATGGCTCAGAGCATGGTCTGAAGGCACGTAAGGCATCCATGATGTTGAGGCTAAGCTGGCCTGAGCTTGGAAGGGAGACCACCTGGAAACGGCACATAGCCACCTTGAGTTCCACAGTGGGAGAAAGGTGGGCAATATACATAAAGTTGTTTGAATGTAGTTACTGTACCATAGTGGTTATGATACAAGTCCAAGATTGCAGAATGTCAGGCCTGAGTGTCAAAGATGGTTCAGTTGGGTCCCATGAGGCCTTCTGGATTTTCCCAGATGTCAACATCTCCTCTTGCAACTGTTCCTCAGAACCATTGGAACTTAATTCCAAGTAGTTACATTGGGGATGATCTCGGTGCATGCACCTGGATATTCCATCAATGTGGAACGCATATGCTCAGGACCACTTAACAATGCTTAGTTATGCCTAGATTGACTCATATCCATCCTTTGGCAGACTGCAGGGTTTCTCATTTGTTTGTTGAAAGGAACAATGTAGAATCTGGGCAGAACTCAGGTTTGTGGGGTTGAGATTGCTTGTAATAGGGCCAGTGGGTGCAGAGCTTAGAGGCTGGACTCAGACCTGGGAGACCTGAGTCCTAGTCCGCACTTGGCTATGAAGATCACTGGGTGACTTTGGGCCTGGTGCTGCCTCAGTGGCTAACATGCATCATGGGCTGAATGAGAGAGTATTTCCTTGGAGGGGAAAAAGTGGGAGGTAAATTAGATAAATAAAACTGGAGCCTTGTACAAAAGACATACACACAGAATTAAAGAATTCTGGGCCCAAGCAATCTCTTTGATGACCAGGATTAAATAGACTGCAGTCATTTCTCACATAAATATCTGATACTTCAGTGTGATCTAGGATTATTTAGGATCCTAGATTGTCATTTTATCATTTGTTCTTGCTATTGTTAAATGATTTGAAGTCAGAAACTGTTGGCAATCATTACAATTTAGCTAGAGAACTACCGGAAGCTTGAGAATTAGGTTCTGTCCAACCTTCAGGTACAGCATGTGAGACTGCAGTCTCCCCACTACTGATCTGAAGTGCTGTACAGGTGTTAAATGCCATTAAGTTCTGTTTACTTCTAACAGTTACTCGTCTTTTTTGTTCAATGAATTTATTATTCAATTTTGAAAAGCATGTGTACTCCACTCTTCAGCCAAAAGGGTTCCCAAGCTCAGCTTATAAACATCATTAGTAAGACTGCCCTCCCACCCCTCACAGGCTTAAAATCTAAAGAAAATGGTACCCTAGTCAATGGAGAAGGAGAGCAAGGAGGAAAAATCCAGATTGTTACTCTCCCATGCACTGCCCCATCCCCTTTATTGGATATTCAACACTTCACCTTCCTGAAACTTTTGCAGTCAGCAAATGTATATAAACTGAATTGATTAAATTGTTAGCAGGCCAGTGAAAGATTTAAAATGATTCTTCTTCTGTGCAAAAGCAGAATATTCATTTGATGGCAGTATAGACTGATATTTGAAGATTTTGCAAGTCCCTTTATCAAAAGCAAGTCAGGAGTACCCAGGCAATGAGCCTAAAGAACATTCCTGAATGAATGACTTGTTGAAGAAAACATTTATTGTTTGAAAAATTCTCTAAGCCAGAAGCTAAAAAGGGCAAATTTGTATGAACAATAAGTAAGCTGATAAACAAGGCAAAGCTGCTGCCAACCCAATGCTCTGGTTCCAAAGGAATGATTGAGTTGACACTGCTGAAGAACAGAACGTTGCATTAAAGTGCACCTTCTTAGTTTCAAAATGATTTGGAGACTCAATGCTCACCTTGACTTTCGGTACCGAAAGACTTAAAATCCAGCATAAGGGATGGTCTCCAAGGGTATGACTCCAACAGCCCATCCAGGACACCTCTGCAAAGTGAAACTTAGCAATTAGACCACCATTTGCATGCAGCGGTGCCTTCAGGGAAGGACTATGAGGCAGACATCCAAAGCCCTGCTCAGGTCAGCCCTGCCAAACACTCCAGGGCTGGCTTACCACCTTGTGCAATGCAGTTGGAAGCGCTGCCATCTAAAATGATCTCTCATAAGACCATCTGAAGAAACCCACCCTAATCTAAGGTTTACTCTTACCCCCATACGCCAGTAAGCTCCAGAATCAAGACTTCAAAGCTCAAGCCATATTTGTCTGGAAAGCTTAGTGTTACATTATGCGAGGAATCCAGGGTGGTTAACATACGGGGGGGACCCAACCCCCCCCCCCGGGAATTGTCTTCCGGAGGGAGGGCCCCTTGTAGTACATGCGTCCCCTGCTAGGTCAGTGCTCTAGGAACCATCTGCATCACTGTGCCCAGCTGGGCTGTTGCGAGAGGCTGCGTTCAGCATCAGGTTTTTTTGGGAGACTTTTTCAACGTGTTTGCCTATTTCGTGATGGTTGAGTTACACAAACAATGAGCGGCAGTGAAATTTTGTTCAGCGGAGTGTTCCGCAGTTTTCGGCCAAAAACAGCATCACCCTTGTGCCCCACCCTCCCTGTTCACCTCATCTCGTCCCATGCATTTTTTTTTTTTTTTTTTGTTTCCACAGATGAACAAAGTCCTCAAAAGGAAACATTTTGCCCATGTGGAAGAGGCGAAACAAAAAAAGGCAGAAGTACTAAAAAGCATCAAAATCAGGTTCAAAATTTGTTTTGAGCAGTGGAAGAAACGTCTCAATGGGTGTATTGCATCAAACGGAGAGTACTTTCAAGGTGACTGAAGTCTGAACATGTAAAAATAAATGCATGATTTTTTATAAATAAATCCCCAGGTTTTTGGGGTCTTCCCTCGTATGTTTTGAAGGCTTGTCCAACTATGGCGAATGGTGATACCAAACAGGCGAATGCAGTAGCAGGGGGGCTCAAGCCCCCCCGACTTGCGCCCTACTCATGAACATACATAGGAAACAAGACAGAACCCAGGCAAGTTGCACCAGGCACGTGGGTTCCACCTAATTTCCACTTCCATTCCCAACCCATGGAATGCGCTCCCCAGAGAGGTCCGCCCGGCGCCGTGGTTATTTGCTTTTCGGTGCCAGGCCAGGATCTTTTCTTTTAAACGTCATTTTAATCGTTGGTTTTATTTATTGATTTTAACAACTTTGGCCAGGATGTCTCCAACTGTATTATATTGTACTAATGATATTTATTTATTTGTAAGCCGCCCCGAGGCTTAGGCGAATGGGGCGGCATAGAAGCCTGCTAAATAAATAAATAATAGATAGATATTCCTTTCCAAAGGCAGAGGAATCATCGAATTCAAGCACAGAGCATGACACTTAACACCTTGTGTGTGGCCCATGCTCCATACTCCAGGACCATACCTGGAGAACATTGCAGAGATCCTCGGTCTTTGGACCAGGAATGAAGAATCACTAATTCCGCACTTTTGAACCAGCACATACACTTAAAATTGGTTTCTTGTCAAAATTTGCACTTCTCCAACTTTCATAATCGAATTCTCCAGGTTGTTTTTTTTTAAAGGAGTACCAAAGAATGTGCAAAAGTACACACAAAATTTCACACATTCGTGAAAATAAATTTAAAAGGCATGATATAAAGAAACCTCCTTGCAAGAATGTACATATTGAACACATAAACTAATGCAATTATTTGGGGAAATGTACACAAAAATGTATACATATTCTCATATAGCCTTTAATTCCTTCCATGCATCCGAACGTGCAGATTAACTGAACCTAAGATTGAGAGAAACCAAAATGGACAGATTTATCCAATCCTGGTCACAAACGTCTCACTGCTTTACAAACAAATATGGATATTGCCACCAGCTCATTGAAACGAAGCACTTTTTAGAGGTTTTAGAAGCAAGATATGTATGAAGGGAAGATGGAAGCCCTTAGTCCTGATAGCGGTTATGTATGCAGAGATTTCCACAAAATTCCAGAGATTTTCCATGTTCCTCCAGAGGTGACTGGAGATGCAAAAACCTCTGACTCTAATAGGCTTATAGAGAGGATGCGCCATTCCTTTCAGCATTTACATTTAATCATTACTTAAACAAACAAGGCATCAAGGAGGCAGCTCACAGGTGTTCAGAGCAGGGCTGCAGAAGCACAAGTCAGCAGTTCAAATCCAGCTCTTGGAGGCTCCCAAAATGATGAGTCTCCCTTCCCCAGGCCCCAAACCCTTCCCCTAACCATTAATCATTTGGCTGTTTCCCAACTTCTTTGCAGTTTTTCCCTATTCTGAAAGCTTGAAGTACCACTCCTAAGTCCTGTTAACACACCAGAACAGCAGTAAGCTAAAATTACTGATATTTTAGTAAGCTAAAATTACAGCTGATATCGATCATTTTTAGACATATAAAATCAGTCTTCAAATTATTTTCCCAATCTGAACAACAACAACAAAATTGGGAAGCTGAAAATATATTCCTATTCACTGGGATTCATCTAAAAATTGGAAACATGTACTTTAAAATGCAAGCACCACCCTACACACGGGAAGGAAAGCCTGTTCGAAATTGCTATATGAATGCTATTTAAAAACCAAACCATGAGGCTGTGCTGGAGATCTATTGTTCTTAATCATAGGCAAATTTCATTGATTAGCTACCCCAGTAAGAAACTAAGGAATCCTAGGAAGAATCCTATGTGTGTTTAGACCCGAAAAAGTCACTCTTGTCTGAGTAGGATATTGTTCTGTCTAAATAAGCATAGGATGGTGCCTTAAAGGCCATGTGTTTAATCTGCAAGAAGTCTTTAATCAACAGAGAATCCAACAAACAGAATGGCACTCTTTTACCTGTTTCGTCCTGGGTCTCTGAATCCTTTAGCAAAGGGATTTCGGTCTATCTTCAGTTTTGTTATCTGTCAACATTTGCAGCCAAAGAAGAAGAAAAAAACTGACAACTGTAAGCTATACAAGCACCAGGATGGCAAGACATCAGCCTGACAAAATCAGTCCTGAATCTGTGAATGAGTTTTGAATGAATGCTCAGGTTGACAGTGAAGCTACAGAAGCATACACCTTCATGGGCTTGAGTCCACCTCATCAGCTGACTGAAAAGTGGTCCTCAGTTTGGAATACATGGGCTTATTGGCGGGTGCTCGTTTATAAGGTCGCGATAAATTAAGAGTTGATTTGATGGCATGTAACAACAGCAAATGATGCCTCTCCAGTGTCTGCACAGTCTATCAGGAGCTGTAGAGAATTGACTTTACCCAAGCTATTACCTTGCATCTGTTTTAGTCTTCCCATACCACCACTTTATACAGATGGGAGTTTTCCTTTCCAGGTGAACTGATCTAATTTTCACTTCCTGGACTTTTATACCGGTTAATGCACACTTTTCCTGCAGTCTGCAAATGTTGCACTCCTTGGTGTAAACACTGTGCACAAAAGTATGTACATTAAGGAAAGCTGAATACTAAAATGTATATATTAGGGGAAATTATGTTCAGAGGCATTTATTAAGGAAAACAGTCTATGAAAATAAATGTGTGTTTTCTTTTTAATTGGAATAGGGTGGAATAGACCTTTGGACACAGGAAAAATGATATGCATGGGAAATAAACAGATTTGTCCCTATTTGCTGTAGTCATGGAACTTCAGCATTCCAGTTTTTTTTAGAAAAAAGCAAAGGCTGACATCTGCTTGCGCCTGCCCTAAATAACTTACCTGCTGGTTTTGATAAGCTGTAACTGTGGTGAATTCTGTTTCTTTAAAGGAGAAACTCTGGACCCCTGCTGCTGGCAAGGACTGGATCTGGGACAGATCAAATCGGGAATCCTGGACGATGATGTGGACTCTGGGTTTGTATTTGTGCATTGACTGCAGAATAATCTGTAGACCAGGGAATAGGGGAGGTGAGAACAAAACAAACAGTCGATTGTCCTTTTTAAAGAAAAGTCAAGTCAACCCGCCAGTGCTGAGCATGCTTGCTTTGAAGTAGTCCTGACTTAATTCTGTTTAGGTTTTCAATGAGAAGAAATACAAAAAAGCTCAACCTGATCATGTCTCCTGAGTTTTCGAGCAGCAGCATTTGCGCTATGGAGCATAAGCGATAATATCTGTGTGTGGAAGAGGGCAGTGTGATTTAACAGGCAACCTTTCTCAACCTCTTTTGGAATTCACCTCTCAGCCGCCATGACTACGCTGGCTGGCACTGATGGGAACAGAAGTCCGGGACATCTGGCTGGCAACAGGCTGGGGAAGGCTGAAGGACAGAGACCCAGGTTCAAGTCCTCCCCTCTCTCCCTGCCTTCTCTCTCTGCTTCTCGGAGAAATGCACCCTCAAATCCACACCTACATGCCCTTTGTCGTCCATCTCGTTGTTGGTCAGCTTCACCCGGTCGAAGCTGATGATCTGCCTCATCCAGGTCTCCCCAGAGCAAGGAGAATCCGGGTGGATGTAGAGCCGAGGAGTGATGCAAGAATGGTCGGTGTTTCCAGCCACCATCCACTGGGAACTGTGGTAGACGTACCTTCAGATCGAAATCAAGGGACAGAGACTGAAATCAGAAAGAGAAATCTGCTTCGCAGCAGCCCAGAGTCCCTTCTCAATTGTCCTGCTGTATCATCAGAGTAAAGTCTGTAAAACTGATCCATAATTTGGGGCTACAACAACCACAGGGCTATAATAATAGGCTCACATTTGACCTGGTATGAAACTTTACACCATAGTATCTGACTCCTGGTCAGGGCAATACACTCCATCTGAGCTAATTTCCTCGCTAAAGGGGCAGTTGTCTTAAAAGTGATGCAACTCCAGAGCAACATTTGCAGGAGTGTCCAGGAAACATTTCTGTTGGTGGCTGGAGCCAGCAAGAGGATCCATGGGCAGCTCCCCGGGCTCCAGTCTGCCCTTCTCTCCCCATCCCGTTTATAAGTCCATATTTGCACCAGGGCATTGTGAAAAATTCAAAGCACCAAAGCTGGTGCCTTGTTGTCACTTGGAGAGTGATTCCTTTCCTTGTGGGATAAGTCTCCCGACGTCCGTAGCTGGAGGACCAGCACCCTTTGGGTGCAGGAATCGGCACTCTGATTGCACGTAGCAAGCCATCCCTGTCATGTTTCAGGAGGTGGGTATGCAAACTGTGCAGAAACGAACCCTCAAAATTCACCACCCTTTTTGTGGCTAGAGAAATCAGTGGGGGCAATTTCACTGAGGTTCTCCAGTGGAAGGAGTCATTCTCAGCCGACAGGATCCACAGCTTGCGGTGCAGCTTCTTTGTCGTCCCACAAAGTGTTGCTTCTTTCTGTTGTGAGGCTGCAACACATACTGTGCTGTCAGAATGGCCCCCGTTTTGCACCAAGCCCCTGTGCAGGTGAGGGTGGCAATTTGTTGTGTCCCACTCCAGGGCAGAGGTGGAGAAGGGCTAAGCCAAAACCTGTCATCCAATGCCCTAAAAGTTCCCCATCCGTCAAAAAAGAAGCTCACATTGTTCTGCTCCATTCTCCCCACCATTTAGAATTTATTTTTGTGGTGTCTTTGAGCTTTCCTAATCACTGCTACCTGTCTCCCCCGCTCCCCCCACAGAACACCTGTGTTTCCTGAGCTGAAAAGGCCCTGCGGGTGAAATTACTGGACATTATTTTCTCCAGAGTCTTTGCTGAGGGACAGGAAGCAAGGAGGGATGCTAGAGCTGAGTTTGTGCCACAAGAAATGGACGGTTGCACACACTTTTCCACCTCCTTGGATGCAAAAGAAGAAGAAGAAACCCAAGGCCGGCCTGCGCAAGTATCTCCAAAATGTCTTCATCACTGAATTTCCTTTCAATTGCCGTTTCTTTCCTATCAGATTGAATTTCACTGGCCAAAAATGTAGATGGTTTTTGGCACAACACTAGCACACTAAAGGGAATGCACTTGAAGACTGACATGCTTTTACAATTACTAAAACATTCTGGGAGATGGTTGTCCAAGGGCTGCCAGATTGCTAACAGTGAATCTAACTGTCACAGTTAATGATACTTTTATTCATTATTGGGAATGGGCGTGGAGACACAGAGAAAATAACAAATGCGGATTAGTTGATGGATGAAAAGGCTGAATAAATGGGACTAATTTTCCATATACCATTTTCAAGTTTTTTTCTTATTGAGACTTAGAAGCTTGTGGAAACAAGGTTAGAATCCTATATATAGATCGGTTGTTTATCAATAAAACAAAGCAAATTGTGAAGCTGTTTCACATATTGACCTGCCTCACAGGTTTGTTATTAAAATATTTATTTATTTAAAACTTTTTAAAACCGCCCACTACTGAGGTCTTGGGATGGTTTACAGTAAAGCAGAATAAAGCAAAATGAAACACAGCATCCTAATTGATTTCTAGCAATAAAACCCGTATTAAAATGACAATATATGTTCTATATTGGCAACATTATAGCGGCAACAATAGCAGCAACACTATATGCCATTCCTCTTCAACGTGGTGCCCTCCAATGTGCTGTACCACAGCTGACATCATCCCCAGCCTTCAATTAAAGGCCATGTTGGCCGGGCATTGTGGGAGTTACAGTTGTATTTTCAGAGGATACCAAGTTACAGGGAGGCTGAAGCGCATTCAGAACCCCAAAGTATTGTAACAAGGGCAGGGAACTTGTTGCTCTTCAGCTATTCCTGGACTACAGGTCCCATCATCCAGCAACATTGGCTGAAGGGTGCAATAGTTCCACAACATCTGGCGGGCTACCATCCCACACTACAGGGAGCGATTTTGGTTAGCAGCCTTCCACGTTCCTGGCTAAGCTGGCTAGGGCTGACGGGAACGGAAACCCAGAACGCAGGATTGGGGAAAGGCTTGAACTCAAGGTTTGCACCCAACATGGCGACGGGCAGGGGCTTTTTAAGTGGCTTGAAAGGAGGATTGGGCACTCTGCAATCCACTGAAGCTGCGGGTCCAGAAACAGTCTGGATACGGTTAAATCTTTATAACCACATGCAAGGAAAGAAAGTTTCCAGAAAGTTGTAAAGAAGAGGGACTTTCCAGAGGCAAACCTTCTTACAAGCAAGCTAGCAAACCACCCTGGATCTCTAGCTCTCCCCTTCTTCCCCTTCCCAGTTCTTGCTTTTCCCCAACAAGTTATTTATTTACAAGTGCCCTGGGAAAGTTCTCTTCCTGAAACTGACATGCATCAGTCGGGAGAATGCAGGAGGGCAGAAACTGAGCCTTGGTAAGGTTCCTTACATTCTTTTATGGCTCAGCAATGCAATGCCATCCTTTCAGGTATTGATAAGTGGTCCTGTGCATGTTTACTCAGAGGAAGGACCCACTGAGTGCTATAAGGTGGCACTCTCAAGTAAATGCACGCTGGATTCCAGCCTTGAGCCTGCACTTCCAAACCTGTGCATTTGGGAGAAAGTCCCATTGAACTCACTGGGGCATCCTCGTGTGAATGCGTTTCCTGGTGTTTCAAAGCAGAGTGGAGAGAAGTTCCTCTGGATCTCCTGGTCACAGCCGAGAACCTAAAAGGGCGCAGTCCCAGCACAATGTCCCAACATGGCCGGGGAGGGAATTTTGGACATGCAGGACATTTCCGCTCTCTGAATGTGCAGAGTGGGAGAATCAACCACACCCTTCTATTTTTCCCCTTTGAACCAATGTGGAGTTTAAAATGCTTACATGATTTTGGTTGGATAATGCTGAGAGAGAGCAGAGAAAGGTGAGAGGATTAGCTCTAGCATCTCTTCCAGCCTCCCCAAAGCAGAGGGCAACTTGTAGAAAGCCTTGCGCACCTCGAGGGAAATGCTGGGATTTTGCAGATGTTTCACATAAATTTCTCTTTCTGCTGACAGCTTCTCCAGAAACTGATGGGTTCTGTGAAAATTCTTTTCTCTTTTTCTATTTCCATCAGACAGATTGGAGGAACCCCATCCAGAACCTTGTTCTGCGGGAGAAGACTCACTCCCAGATGCTCTTTTGTGCTTGATCTTACCAGTTTAGCACTGGTTAGCACTCATGGGAAAATGTTGGCATGAGAGCTGCTACTGAGGAGTATCTGTGATGCTGCAAGTCTATCTTTTTACTGAAAAAGAAATGTCTGCTGTTGATACACCTTACCAGTGAGTTGGAAAAGCTAAAAGGGAAGGATGGGGCTTAGGATCACACGCTATCACTCAAGCCCTGTGATTTTAGGAGATTCTGCCCTTCAACTCTACATGCTAAGAGGGAGTACTTGAGAAAGTCTGGGAAGACATAAAACATGAAGGCTCAGCAATGCAAGGGGGGCTGGTTGAATAATACATTGATTGCTATTGAACAAGAAAGAAAATTCAGAGTGCCACCTTTGCTTCCCTAGAAAGTGACGGGGGGAAAAAATCCCTCCCATAGGATCGATTCATGTGCAGATGTGAATCCTCTTGTGACAGTTCTCTGAAGGGGGAACTTCACCTCCACAAAGATTGAACCTGATGGGATGTGTGGGGTTGGTGGTTCTGCTTCAGGCGACAGGCCGGCAAACCCCAAACGAGAGCCCCAAATGAGTGGGCACCAAGGCCTGCCCTCTCGCAGGACCCAGACTTGAAGGGGAGCGGAGAGCCATGCCAGCGAACAGTCTTTGCTTTACCTGTATCTTTTGGAATCAACAGGGACCACGTCTATGGCGATGTAATACTGCTTCATGGGATCCAGGCCTTTAACTTTCACTCTCACGGATGGAAACATCCTCCTGGGATGGCAGAAGAAAAGCGGGGAGGCACATTGCTTGTGAGCTAACACTGACCTTGCGGTCACAGCTGCATTCATGTGGACACAAGTGTCAGCGGCACCACCTTTTTACCACCAGCTTCAGAATTCAATCATGGCATGTTCTGACCGGAAAAAAAAAGGCTGGCTGGGGCAGGCGAGACATGCTATGCCTTTTTGCTGTTGAAGCGTGCCTAGTATTGCTCCTTAAAGCCCTTTACAGAGAAATTTGCAGAAGTGTGCAAATATAAGTTTGATGTGACCAAAGCCCCTTATAATAGGTGGCACCTAGACAACCAGAATGCAGCAAGGGGCTGTATCCAACGTTAGATCTACTGCTTTGAGTAGACCCACTGAAATAAATGTGACTTCAGTTAGACAAGCATTAGATACAAGCTGCAATGAAAGCACGCTTCCTTGGAAATAAGTCCTGTGAAACTCATCGCACGAGAAATCGTGAACCTCCGTCACTGTTTTCCACCCTCCTTCTGCTGTGTTACCTCAACTTTCATTACAATCACCTTGGAGAAAGAGTTAAAAATTACTTCCAGGCAAGTAAAGCAGCAGCAGCAAATGAAGAAGGCAGTCGGAATGCTTTGCAGTAGCAACCATGTGGAAAGTTATGACTGCTAGGAGTGGAGTTACTCAAGGGGCTATGAGGAGTAGGCTACTCATAGGGGGGAATGGAAAGCTCAGAAGTTGGCCGCCCAAAGAGACAACTGACGGCTCAAATGAAGAAAGTATTCCATCTTTCCAAGGGATGCTCCAAGTGATGAAGACTGCTGCCTTGCAATTACATGGGATGCCCTGTTAGAGGACATACTAATAAATAAAATAAAAACTATCATCTTTGGGGACAATGCCTTACCTCCCAGTGCATCCACAGGACTGTAGCTCTGTTCTATGCCAGACAAATGCTTGCAATTTCTATTCCTATCTGGGAGCGGCTTGCATTGAAATAACGGTTAGGACAAAGGCATTCACATTCTGCCTGCTACATTTCTGGGAGCGATTCTGCTTTTCTTCCTCAGCAGCCTAATCGTAACATCTTTCGTTGGAAATAAGTTTCACTGAATTTGACAGGGCTTATTTCCAAGACCCAGATAAGTGTGGGCAGGGTTGGAGGCTGGAGCAGGAATGGTAAAAAGTCGCAGGACTGAGATTGGCTGGTAGACCTTTCAGTCATTTTCAACAGGAGATCTACATGGGCGTTTGGACTCTCAACAGCTGTATAATAGTGAAGCAAAAAGACTTAGATCCCTGTTAGGTTGTGGAAACCAAGGGACCTGGCAGTTGTATATGAATTCACTTTTGAAAACAAATTGCTGAGCTAAGCATATGCCCAGAGGCACTCTTGTTCTCCAAGTCTATGCATGTTTGCCCAGCCCTGACCTAAAACATGGACTGACAACCATCTGCTGATAGAATCACATGGAGAAAATTGTCTTCCACTCATAATTCATGAGGCTTTCAATGCAATCCTGTGCAAGTCTACTCAGGTGTAAGTCCAGTTGTGTTTAGTGGGATTTACTCCCAGGACAGGATGTACTAGATTGCAGCATTAGTTGGAAAGCAAGCCTTACAGAACTTACTAGCTTGTAACCAAATGTCATCATTGTTTAGAACCACTGAAATCAAAGGGACTTCAGTCGGTGATCAACTTCATCTCCACGGCAATAAATTTTCAGAATGTCACGAATATGGAGTTAGATGCTAGTGACTCAGCCTTCATCCATTGCTGTGGAACTTACTTCTGTGGGGGCATAACCTGATTTACACTGTTGTTCCTTTTCAAAATGAGGGATGGATGTGATTGAGGCTCAGTCTCTGAACTTGGGAGTTATTCTCATTCTCATTAAAGTCAACGAGTTTACTTCTGAGTAGATTAGTATGGGATCACGCTGTCCATGCAGAAAAGGGAAGGAAAAGGCAGGAGGGAATGACAAGTTTGAGTTACTGAGCGATAAACTTCTAACTTGTGTTGTGAGCCGTCCGGAGATGCCAAGGCATGTGGTGACGGAATATCAAAGTTTTAAATAAATAAATAAAATAACTTGGGGAGCGGGAGTTAAAAGGGAGAAAATGTCCCTCTCCGAGATAGTGTGAAGAGGTTGTCTGTCCGAATGAGCTCTTCCAGGGCCAATTTGAAAGGACTGCAAAGGGAACTGAATCAGAGGTTTGCCTTCTTGGCAACTGGTTTAAGTTTTCCCTAAGGCACAACATGTGAGACTACATGTCAGTGAAGTTGTAGGAGCTGGGGGGGTCCTTGGTATATGCACTGGCTTAACAGCTTTCTGTCTCCCAAATCATGATCATCCCTACCAGATGGAGCAACTGTATGTCCTCTTATTATTGGGAAGTCTCCTTTTCCAAGGAAATTTATGTCTACCTGATGGGTGGATAGTTGGGCAGGAGACCAGGCAATGGGGGCAGGGAATGTTTATTAGGCAGATGTTTATTTGTATAAGAAAAATTCCAACACCCTGACTTAAAAAAAGGAACCTCTTGCAACCCTGAACACACTGACTCAGGAGTTAGGTCCCACCAAACATAAGGCCACTTATTTCAGAGTTAGCATTTTAAGATTGCGACCATGTGAAGTGGCTTCTATGATGCCATTTATGTTGTATTTTTGGTTCTTAATTGAGAGCTTTGCCTATTGGGTGGTATATCAATGTAATAAATAAATACACCATACAATAAATGGCTTGATAATGAAAATACTTTTAGATTCTGGTCTTAGCAGTCTTAGCTCTTGGATCTCACCTTGCTCAGATGCTTAGTCCTATAGTTCCCTCCACATCTGGATAGCCAGCCCTGTTGGGGTCCTCCAGCTAATTCTGCCAAGAAGGGCCTAGCACATCTGCCTCCAAGTCCCACCTGACTGGAGCCATTGTGAAGTAGTGGCGTTTTGCCCATTCCTCGCTGACCCTCCCTCCAACCTGAAGATTTGGTTTTCAGATATTGGAAGCAGAGGGTCTTTTGCTATAAATAACAAATGTTAATTGTGGGATGATGGAGAGACACTCTTTCCAAGTTGGACAAGGACCTTTGGCAGCAGGAAGATCTTCGATGGTCATTCAGAATGATTTATTTGGGGAGCTGGATTCATACATGCTCCTGATGAGTTCATCATGCCATGGACGGAATATTGCTCAGGCACAGCAGAGCTGAGTTCGAATCTCAGCTCTCCGCCGGTTCTCCCAGCCCATGGGTGAACTATATTGCCATTCAAAGGCGCATGGGAGCACTGACCTCCTTCACAGACTTGGTGTTAGGAAAGCTAATGCGTCTCAGCCCTCCTAGGAAGCTCCTGATGAATTTTGCCCAGAGAAAAGCCACAAGAGCTGCATGGGGGCTCAGGCACATGAGCATGGAAATCTCTCAGTGGGGCTGAACAAACGTCCCACAGGATCTGGGCTGCGCCCCTTGCCAGTAGGCGCTTAACTGGAATGACTTGTGAGAAAAACTGCATCAATGAAACAAGGGACTTGTGAGAGATCATGTACGTGTGCGAGGGCTTTCATAGTGAGAGGAGCATTGTTTGGGGAAAACCCACAACCCCCAACACAGACCCCGGACCATGCTTTCCTGGGTAAGCTAACATGGAAAAGCAATGTGTGAATGGAGCCGAAAACGAAACGAAAACGAAAACAAAAAGAGCAAGCACGGTTTATTTGTTTGAAAAGGGTGGGCAGAGCCCGGATCGTGTGGCCCACACGTGCTGACACATGAAGTCCCCGAGAGGCGACTTCTGCCAGTACTGCTGCGCTACTTATGCTCAGTGTTTGTGGGCTCAGAGAACAGATGAGACACACACACAAGGGGTGAAACTCCGGATCACCTACCTGCCTGCTTTGGTAATGATCATCTCTGTGCCAATTTCATGAAACCGCTTCCACAGCTCCGAACCTTGCAAGTCCACTTGGATGTCTCCCGTTGCTTCTTTGGCTTCCTGAGACATTTCTCCTTTGGATTTCTTTTCTGCAAGGAAATGAAGACAAAGGCAGATGGAAACGAACATGTGCTTTATTTACCATGCGATTGTATACCTATGTCCACTGGAAGGCAAGCTTCATTAAACTCAGTGACAGGAGGAAGGGAAGGGAAGGGAAGGGAAGGGAAGGGAAGGGCAGGATTCCTTTCTCTCCAGATCTGCATAGGACTGCACCCTTAATCACCATAGCTTACAATTAACTGGGTCCTTCCAAATGGGCACAGAAATGCATCCAGAAACTTAAGGATACTTGTTTAGATCCTCATTCAAAGGCATATTAGACGTGATTGACATGATCTTCCAGCAAAGCCTTTTCCAGTGTCAAGAGCTGGGAAGCATGCCCTGAGTTTGCAAACGGTTCCGTTCAGTCCATTGTTCTGTATTGTCTCTGACCCCTTCCATTCCTCACTGCTTGATTCCGAGGGAAATTGGGGCGAGAGCTCCCAAGTAAATAACGGGGGCGTAGCCTGGAAATGATGCAAATCCCTCTTTCCCATGTGAATGTTATGTTTCCAATGAAATGATTTCTTAGGAATCTGTTAAGCTTCCGGATGGAATTTCAGCTCCTCTTGTGTTCTCTTGTGTTGCAGTTGAATCATGTACATCTCAGGTAATCCCAGGAATGGTACTAAGTATAGAAAGATCTGGGGAGCAGGTCCACAAATTCTAAATAAATATTTATTTTAATTTTCAAACTCTACATTCTGAAAATATGTGGGAGGGGGAGTTCTCAATGCATATCTTATTGCTAAGAAAACCAACCGTCAGGTGGATCAAGGGAATGAGGAGGAGGAGAGGAGGAGGAGGACCGCTACTATTTCTGTTTCCTTGAGATTCTACCCAGAGATTGGTGTGTATTCAGAAATAAGCCCCATTGAGTTTGATGAAGTGTATGCAACCTAAGACATGGTAAACCTACAATCATTGACTGTCTTTCAGGAATGTAAAGCAATCAAAAGTAACCAGTGCCATTTTGGGATACAATCCTCCACATGGCTGGCTGGGGACTTTTTCTGCAGAAGCAGGTTGGGGTTGTGCCTGAAACGAGGGTGGGGGAGCGCTGAAGGCAGCCAGCAGAAGCAGCTTCCCCACAGCTCCTCCTTTCACCTCGAAGAAGGGCTGGTTCCTATCCCTGCCTCACTTCGATGTACTAAGTGGGGCCAGAAAAGATCCAGGCTCTCTCTCTCTCTCTCGTTTTCTCCATCCATCCATCTATCTTTCTAACAAAAATAAGCACATATCTGCATATGCTAATTTACATATCCTCTAGTCTGTGTGTGTGTGTTTTTGTGTGTGTGTGTGAGAGAGAGAGAGGGCGAGATCCAGGGCTCACGCCAACAGAATTATTATTAATATTAATATTATAAAAACAGGCAAGCACAGAAGTGCCTAGTCAGTCCCTATGCTCTAAGCAGTCTGTGCGTGTGCACTTGAGCGAGCGTGTCTGGAAGGATCCTGGCCCCTCTCTGTGCAGAGCGATGTCTGGGCCCGGGAGAGGAAGGCGTCTGATTTCAGGAAAACAGAAACAAAAGCAGGCCAAGGATCCAGGCGGGAGGGTCGAGGGTTGCAGGTGGTGAAGCGCGTGCGGCTTCCTGGGGTGATCCAATGTGCTGGAGGCCTTCAGGGCCTGTGCCCCTTTTTTCACCCCATCTGCATAAGCAGTGGGGGTCGGGACAGGGCTTGTCCAGAGGAGGGGATCAGGGATCCGATCCTAACCAGCTGCCCCTGGACTATGCCATGGGAGAAAACAGAGGCCACTTCTCTGGCCTTTTCCGGGTAGATGGGCTTGAAAGTCCCTTAAGCTCAGTTCTCAGCTGTCCTAATGGAGGACTAAGACCCACGGGTGGGGTCTGGGGAGCTTGACATCTCCTTCCCAGTATCCATGCTCCTGCTTACCATCCTTGGCTCATATAACACAGTCAGCTAAGAATGCCTTTTTGCTTATTCTGAAAAAGCGGGTTTGAAAGGCGAAGTCACAAACTTGGGGGATCGTACTGCATTCTTCTTCAGGTTAGCAGGAGAAGGAAGGAGAATAATATCTGTGCCGGGTCCTTGTGAGCCTTGCTTCTGAGTAGACACGCACAGGATTGCACTGTCAGGAATAAGATCCATCAGCTTAGGATAGGGCTCGCTGGCTGGGATCCAACGCACACCCCCTGGGAGCGAGCGCTGCGGGATGCTGCCTCAGCGTATTCATAGGCCGTGTCTTCCGCACGAAATCATGTTCGAAGCAGTTCGCAAAACGATCCTAAGGACCCGGGAAACGGGCTTCTCGGAGGAAGCGTGCGCGCGATCACAGGGCGCACATCCGTGGGCGCACCTTCCAGAGTGCTCAAGGCGGCTCCCACCCTGCCCAACAAGCAAGCTCAGGGTGCGTGAAGTACTCCGCGGTGACTCCCGAGTTTGCGCCTTGCGCGGGTGGCATGCCCTGGACTGCAATCCGACTTCTGCCTGAGCAGCATTTTATCTAGCAGCCGGGGTGTGTGTGTGTGTGTGTGTGAGTGGGAGGGAGGGAGAGTGGGAGGGAGGGAGGGGGGAAGCTTACCTGGCACCTGGCTTTTCTTGAGGGACCCCTTCTCAGCAGCCTGCTCCTCTTCCAAATCGAAGACTTTCCGCTTGGGAGAATTGCCCACCAACGCGTCCACGGAGAATGCATGTGCCCGGGAGCTCAAAGCCATACTGCCAGCTCCCAGGTCGGCTTTCTTCTTTCCCTTGGAGAGGAGGAGGAGGACAGCACGCCAGACTTCGGGGGATGCCCCTCGGCTTCCTGCAGCGACCCCCCACCCCAACACAAGCGTCAGTCCCTTGTGGAAGCGCGCGAGCACCCGGGTCACCCGCCTTCGGTCTCTTTGCGCAACATCCTCGAGAACGGGGTGAGCGGACTCTGGTTGCCGCGGCTCCGAGACCTACTGGCTCCCCAAGCGAAGGACCAGGGAAAAGACAGGGAGCACCTCTTTAAAGGAAGGAACCAGAACGGCCCTCTTTGGCAAACCCCCCGGAGACGCAGACTCCATACGGGGAAGGCAAGGAGAGCTTGGAGGCATCCGCCGAACCGGGATCGAGCCGACAGAGACTTTTTTCGAAAGTGTTGGGAGCGCTTAAAAGAAAAGGAGGGAGTGGGGGGAGAGAGGCATGGAAGGGGGGAGGATGGGGAAGGGGAGGAGATGGCCGAGAGGGTGTGTTGGGGGATCTCGCCCCTCCTTGTGGGGCTGAATTCCAGAGGCGCTGCTGTCCGTTCCGTTAGCGAGCTCCGAAGGAAACGCGCCTTAATTGCGCTCTGGGGGCCATTTTGGCAATCGCGGCGCAGCGGGGAGCAGAGGCTGCGCCTTCGTCTCCGGCGACCCTTTGGCTCTCGCACCCGTGCCTGGCGAGCTCTCCCTGCGCTTTTGGCTTGGAGAGTTCCAAGAACTTTTCCTCGCATCCACAGCAGCGGCTGCTGCTGAGCGCAACGCGCCGGGCACTGGCGTCCTCCGTGCGCTCCGGTTGGGAGGAAGTGCCCCGATTCTCTGGGTTCTCGCTGGGAATCTGCACAGCGTCGCGGTGATGTTGGCCCGGCGCCGACCCTCCGCCTAGCCTACCTCGTAGGGTTGTTTTGAGGACAGGATCGAGAAGAGGAACCCCCGGTGCCTCTTGCGTTCCACATTTAGGCCTAGGAACAGTCCCAACATGATGAAGTGAGGCTGCAGCGCTCTCTCCCCTCAGGCGCGGAAGTAAGAGCCATTGCGCTCCATGGACTTACTTCTAAGGTGACCTGCATAAGTTAGCACAGGTCGTGCCAGTGCAAATCCACACGGAGACCCCTTGTCCGGCAAGGGCATCGGGGATGAGAAGAAGAGCTGGCGCATGAATCGTTCTTTCCCGCGTTTTGGAGGGGCGAACGAGGTTTGTAGGGCTGAGACCCTCGAAAGATGCTTACGAGGGGGGAGGCTGGACTGGTTGTGTTTGCCTGGGGACGTTTGACATTGGAAAGGTATGAGCGAAGGCAGTGGCCCGAAGAGGCCTCTGATTTTGAGAGGAGAGCTCACCCAGCCCTGGTGCAATGGCAGAGGCGAGCAAGGCTTGGTCGAGCCCCTCGGGATGGGTTCAGACAGCAAGATCACCCTCGAATGTGGGTTCACATGGTCTGTTGTTGGGTTCTGAACTGAGGGTTCTTTGTGGTTAGCAAATCAAGATTTGTTCATGTGGTTGGGTTCAGATGATACAGTAACCTATGTTTCAACAACAAACCATACGTTGCTGAGACTCAATCCTTGAACTTTTCCAGAAAAGAGAAAGAAGGTTGAGGGAATGCAAAAGAAGGAAGGAAAAACATGTCTTTCCTAAAATTCTGGCAAAGCAATGTCTGTTCAAAAGTAGGCCCCACTGACTTCCACTGAGTGTATCGCAAGTAAAACATGCTGAGTCTGGAATCACGGTGGTACCTTTCGGGAACATGAAGGAATGGAAAGAAGCCCTTGCTATTGCAGGGTGCGATCCTCCACATGGCTGTCTGGGGACTTTTTCTGCAGAAGCAGGTTGGGGTTATGCCTGAAACGAGGGTGGGGGAGCGCTGAAGGCAGCCAGCAGAAGCAGCTTCCCCACAGCTCCTCCTTTCGCCTCAAAGAAGGGCTGGTTCCCATCCCTGCCTCACTTCGATGTACCAAGTGGGGCCAGAAAAGATCCAGGCTCTCTCTCTCTCTCTCTCGTTTTCTCCATCCATCCATCTTTATAACAAAAATAAGCACATATCCGCATATGCTAATTTACATATCCTCTAAAGTCTGTGTGTGTGTGTATGTGTGTGTGTGTGAGAGAGAGAGAGAGAGGGAGAGATCCAGGGCTCAGGCCAACAGAATTATATTATTATTATTAATAATAATAATATTATAAAAACAGGCAAGCACAGAAGTGCCTAGTCAGTCCCTATGCTCTAAGCAGTCTGTGCGTGTGCACACGAGCGAGCGAGTCTGGAAGGATCCTGGCCCCTCTCTGTGCAGAGTGATGTCTGGGCCCCGAGAGGAAGGCGTCTGATTTCAGGAAAACAGAAACAAAAGCAGGCCAAGGATCCAGGCGGGAGGGTCGAGGGTCTCACGCAGTGAAGCGCATGTGGCTTCCTGGGGTGATCCAATGCGCTGGAGGCCTTCAGGGCTTGCACCCCTTTTTCACCCCTTTGAGCTCCCCAACAGCAGGCCCAGGTGGGGGGGGGCAATTGAAATATTTGGTGTTCCGGCTTTGCTGGGCCATCTCCTAACATTGGCAGAGGAAGTGGATGGTGTGTTGTGCGATAGTCCCGGAGTCGGAGTCGTGCAGAAACCCCTCTTCTGGAGCAGGTGGCCAGAGGAGGAGATAGGACAGATGGACGGGAAGCAGGCAGTTCCCTTGGGTTCCCTTGCACCATATTAAGCGCCCTCTTCAGCACTTGGGTCTGTTCAAACGTCCTCAGAGCGAGGGCGCTTCTGCCAGCCACCGCCTCTGCTTAGGTGGACTTTGCTTCCCATTTTAATGCTTAAGGGTTGCAGTCCTTAAAGGCGTATTGAATCTTTTGGACACACAAGTAAAAACTTTCCAAATGTACATCCCAGAAGACCTTACAATAAATTTTCCAAATAGACTAATCTATTGAAAATATTAATGTAGTGATAAATATTTTATTGCATTAATAACATCAATAGCTGTATAAAATCTATTACACTTTTAAGTAATTTAACCATCCTATGCAAGTTTATACAGAAGTAAACTCTACCTAATTCAGTGGAACTTACTCCCAGGTAAGTATGCATGGGATTGCAGCTCCTCAAATCTTGTTATGCATTGACCTTACAAGGACACCCATTCAGTCTTAAATCCAGACAAAAACATTTCTTTGCCATTATTTTGAATTAAAAATATCTATTTCATGCTTGGGTGTGCTATTGGGACTGAAATCTTATACCCACTGAAATGGAAAGAAGCCGCACTGACGCACTCAGTCCTACTTAGGAATAGATGTGCATTGCATCGCATCCTCTAAAGCAGAGCTGCTAGGAAGTGTCCACCTAGTTCCCAGTGGGAAAGGGCTGGGAAGGACTGGCCTGGAGCTTGGACAGCCCACGAGGGCACAAAGCGCAGCCTAAAGTATTCCATGGAATGCTTTGTGCAACTAATCAGCGGAATTGGGTGCTTTTTCAGCTCTGTGAGCCACGGGAACCTTTTTCTCTGTGCGTTTGTCCAATTGTTCAGCTCCTGCTGGTAGTACATAAGCTACTGCAGGTATCAAAGGCAGCGTGCTTATGGAACCCAAGGCTGGGGAAGTTGGTGGGAAGGGCTTTCCGAGGGCAGCTGGTTGGCCGCTCTGTGGACAGAATGCTCAGCTTGGCTTGCTGGCCTGTGTCGCTGGTGCACGTTGTGTTTGTAGGCCCAAACTGGAGAAATCCCTCTTTTAAACTGAGGGCATTGTTAGAAGGAACCCGCTGGTGTTCAGTGGAACTTCCTTCTTCAGGCAGGGAGGGCTAACCTGTGGGATTCCCTTGGATAATGGACTGCGATTCCACTTGACCTTGCAACCTAACCAACCAAGCTGGCTGGGGCCGATGGGAGTGGGCGTTTGACAACAGGTGGCCCAGATCACAGCCCGGACTATCCAATGGTGACGCCATCTTTGACCTCACCACCGGGGTTCCAAGGCATGCCAGTGCGTTGCCTTCCAGATTATGTGGGAAAAGCCAGCTTTCCTCCACAAGCATACAGTGCTGCAGATATGCCTTCACTGCACTAATAAAGACACTGCACTGCATATTAGTAGCACAGAGTGTACAGGCTGCAAGCGAAGTGCCTCCATGCCTCACCCATCTGCTTTCAGAGATGCTCTCCCTGGTCTTTCAACCCCTCCAAAGACTTTGAACAAGGTTTTGCACCGTCAAAAGAGCATCTTTATGCCCAAGCGGAGCAAGAGGAAGAGTCCAGTCCTAGACAGATCTACTCGCTAAATAAGTCCCTGTGAATTCAGGCCAGCTTCCTCTCAAGGTAGGATTTACATTTTAATCTGAGATTTTACATTAGAATGAAGAGAGTGAAAAAATAGAGCTTAATCTGAAACTGCTAAAAATGTGAGCCTACACACATTTGCCTGGGTGGAAGTTCCGTTGAATTCAATGGGAGGTTTTCTAGACAGATTTATAAGAAATTGACGAAGTGGGATATTTTGGAGGCTGGGGTAAATTGGCTTGACTGGGGTGACTGCTTTGTTAAGTTTTTTTTTTTTTCTTTAAAGATGCTTTTCATTTATGGCAGACAAACATCTGGCTCACATCTGCATATACATCTCTGTTTCACTCAGAGCTTGATGAGTAATAGCTGAATGTGTGAACTGACTCCAGAAGGAAGCTTGTGTTCCATGCAGGACAGGGGCGCGCTGCCGTTTCTGTGCATCCACCAGGACAAAATCGTCCCCCGATCTCCTAGCAACTTGCTCGTGTGAACCGGCCCCTAGAGCAACAGGAGGTACATCCATTCCAAACAGGGGTACTCTGCGTTCCTTCCCCCCAAAATCTTCCGGATGGACTGGGCTCAAATATAAATGCTTAAGGCTGCAGTCCGATGCGTATTTAGTTGGGAGGGAGTCCCATTAAACTGAACAGGGCTTAGATCTGAATCAAAACCCAAAACCAACCGAGTCAGAAGGTATTTCCTTCCCGAGCGATCACGCGTCTTCTTCCAAAGTAATTTTTGGAAACGAATTAGCGCGGAACAGAGGAGGGATCAAGGACAGGTCTGAAAGCATTTGTGCCTTTACCTCTCCTTGGTTTCTTACCTCCGAGCCGGCATGGCTTAGGACTGTGGGGGAAGGCGCCTCGCCTTCCCTTGCTGGGACAGGTTGCTCGTTCCCTGCCAGGCATTTTACGGGCCGTGCTTCATGCGCGAAGGCAGCAGAGCGGGCGGGCATCTTGGGGCCAAAGCGACGGTCCCGCTTTCCTCTAATCAGATCTTCAGCCTGGCTGGCGCACGAGGGCAGGGGGGACCCAAGGGCAACCAAGTCCTGGCTAGCGGGGCAATGACTTGGGGCCACCAACTTCCTTGAATTGGCGAGGCTGCCAGGGGTGGGGGGGCGAGAAGGGGCCTCCTTTTTGGCACGCTCCAATTTGCACCTGCCTACCTCGAGGAGGCCTGGGAGTGAGACGTCGCCAGGCCGAGGAGGCGCGGGGCGGGGGTGCCGGCTAATAAAATCTGCGCCGGTTTGTTGGGGGGGGGGATGCAGCCCTCTCCCCTGCGCAGCCCCCGTCATCACTCATGCGGACGGCCCTGTCAAGGCAAGGGACCGTCTTATCCCGACTGCGCCTGGGCCGGTCCGATTCGGCCGGGCAAGCCGGAAGCAGCCAGCCCCGTGGGCGCTTAGGCTGCAGGCAGGGCTTTGGATGCGCCTGTCCCTGGGGATCGCGACTCGTGAAGGCGATTGGGGCGAGCTGCGCCATCAGACTGTGCGCCTGAGCTGGCAGGCAGGCCGCGCCTCCGCGATCCTGACAGGTAAGCGGAGAAGGTCTTTCCTTCCTCTCAGGAGCAGGCGGGAAGAGAGGATCGCTCTCGATACGCGTGCGGCGAAGCGCGATGGGGACCAGAGCTTCACACCCTGGCGCGAGCGAGCCCACAAGCTGAGTGAGGGCACCCCACCCACGCACCCCCCTCCTGAACCCAGGGTAGGTGCCGGGTACAGCTCCCACCCCCCTCGCAGTCCGACTCCCCCTGCCCGAAATATCCGGAGGCGCAAAAAGAGCGCGTGGCCAACGCGCAGGCACCTCGACGCGGGCGCCAACGCGCGCCAGTCTTTTCCCAGTCCTTCGCAGACTGAAGCGGATAATAGTAACTCGCCACTCCGGAATGGCGCGAGGGAGGCGGGCTTTAGGGTCCAGGCGATCGGTCCAACCTGTGGGGCATCGGGAAGTGGGGATGAGGAATGAGAGACCTAGGTCCTTCTCCACCGCCTTGGAAGTTGTCCCATCGCCGTAAAAGAACCGGGACCGTCTTTTCCGTGGGTGTTTTGCCCGCGCGGAAAAGGCAAGTTCCAGGGAACGCGGGATTCTAAGAAGGGTTGGGAAAGGGCCCGCTTCCTGCCGCCGCCCCTGCGCGCACCCCCCCCCCCCGACTCCCGGGTCGCGTCTGTCCGCTCAGTCAGTGATCAAAGAGAAACCTTAATCTAGCCATCCGGGAAGGTTGCATGCGCGCGAACCACGTTTACTGCTGGAGCATTTTGCAAACGGAGAGTACACTCTTGTTCAGTTGTGGCATCTCTTCTGCCAGTCCAAAGCCCAGCTCGATCGTCCGTAGGTTCACGTGGAAGGAAGCCCCGCTGAATTCCCAGCTTCTTTCTTCCGGGGAAGTGAGCAGAGGATTTCCAATCGCTCTTTAAACCCAACATAAAGAAGCCAGCGGCGGAAGAACCCAAGTAAATGCAGGAAAATTTGGTTGGATTTCCACAGGCCTTTTGACAGTCACAGTTTTTGGTGCGTGTGTGTGGGGGAGCGGGGGGCAGGATCAGTGCTCAAAACAAGCGGGCTCTTTCCCAGGTGCCGCGCAAGCAGGCGCAATTTGTCCGGAGGTGGAGGGAACGCGCGCCTCGGCAGATTGCGTTGCAGCGGAAATTTGCGCTCGCTTCTCTCCTTCTCCCTTCCTTTCTTCCTTCGCCTGTTTCTTTATATTATAGACCACGTTTCAGCCCGAGGGTGAATTCCAAGGTACTGCCAATAAACCACTAAATAGTAAAACGGGTCTGCAATCCCAGTAATGCGAAGGCAGGTCGTTTCACACGTTCCGGAGAGGCAAACCCGGGTTCGTCGTCCAGCACGGTGCAGGGGCCAGTGGCGACGTACGTGAGGCACTTGCTTCTGCTGGTCTGGTCGGGTGGGCGGTGGGGCTGCCCCCCAACTTCTCGTCCCTTTGCTTTGCCCGCAGAATATTCTTTTCCAAAGCCATCGCCGAGTGGGGAGGGATGGGGAAGAGAGCGAGCAGGAGAGGTGAGGCAGCTGGACAGCCATCCAGCATTTTCCCCATTCACTTCGATGCAGGGACTTTGATTTAAAGGGGGTTCGTGGGGCGCTTCGGACAGAGCAGGTTCCAAGCCGGGAGGGGGGAACATATTTCCACCCTCCGCAAAAGTTGCGCGTTCTCTTCCACCGTTTCTCTCGGGATCACCGCATTGTCCTTTGCTTGGGGCGCAGTTGGAAAGGCCGGCGTGGAAGGAGGCGGCGAGCTTGCAGTGCTGCGATGGAAGAAACGTCCGACTTTGGGAACGTTTTCCACAAAAACCGAGCGAGGTTTTGGATGGAGCCTCGGAGATTTCGCGTGCGAAAGGACAGATCGGCACCTGCCTCCCCTCCCAGTTTGTTTCTTTCCTAGTTTTCCTTGCGAAGAAGCATCGGCGCTCGTGGATACTCTATCTGAGAACCGATGTTTCTGTGAAACGCGTTGGCCGTGAAGAGCTGGAGAATCGCCTCCTTGCCGAGTTCAGTCGATCGCCTCGGAGCCCCGGGAAAATGTTTGCAAAGATTCAGGTGGATCTCCGCCTGACTCAGCATTTTGGAAGAATCTTCTCTGACCCAAGAAGGCTTAACTGATTAAGTGTAGGAGCTTCAGATTAAACAAATAATGGACTGAATCTGTATAAAGTGGTGTGGCAAGAAACTGGAAAAAGCGGGGAGTGAAGTGGGTGGCGTGGTGGCGGAGAAAGCGCAGTGGCACCCGCTATCTCGTTAAATCAGGGCATGTTTTAGTTGCTTGAACCATTTTACAATCAATCGATGTCCTCAATTAATCAAGTAAATGATGGAGACCTACTTTTTACATTCCCATTTGTGGATGTCAGTCACAATACCTAACTCCCAATGATGAAAATTGCTCAGTTATATATCTGGGGTGTTTGAATATACCAATAAAAAGTGTCTATTGCCAGACAATATTGACAGAATTCATCCAATATCATTATTTTCCCCAGTGCCTGTAACTGCTCCCCCTTCTTTTCAATATATTAATTGCAAAAAAGCAACGGGGGGGGAGAGGGGGGGGAGAGAGAGAGAGAGAGAAACAGGGCCTGGTATTGACTTTCAAAATCATTCATCGTGATGGACATAGCATTCATCATTTTCTAAAACTAAAAGGAGATCTTTTAAAAGTTATGTTTCAAAAGCAAAATGTACAAATGTTTGAAATTTGAAAAGTTGTACTCAGATTCTGAAATGCTGCTTACTTTTTAAAATTTTCAGTTTCACAGCAGCTCTGTTTCAAAGCCAGAATCCAGACCTGCAAATGCACAGAGATTTCTCTGCCTGAGTTCCAGCTTCCAACATGTCACAATTCCGTACAAGCACCACCATGTCAAAGGCTGAACCCCACTTCTTTCAATAGAATATTTGTTGCAGGTGTTGCCTTAATCTACAAATTGCTAGTCCTTATGGATTTGAAAATGCCATTTCATATCTACTGCTTATTCGTGGACCTGTGTCCTGAGAGGAAGGACGTAGCAGAAGAAACTCATTGACTTCCTGAGTTGACATAAAGCAAACATTGCAGGATGAGCCCCATGGAAAGTGGGGCAGGACAGAAATGTAACCCATGAGTGGCAGCACACACAGGGGGAAAGGAAAGGTTAATGGGAAAGAGAAGAGGACATAGGAGCAAACAGTCAGCCGCCCGGAATGATGCAATGGTGCAAACACTCGTGAGCCAAAGAATGACCAGAATTGGCACAGAATCTGTATATTCCGTTTCCATAGGGTTTTATGGAAATAATGGATGTCCCATATAAAATCACTGCAAGGTAAGGCTGAACTTGCTCAGCACTAAAATTCTCAGGGTAGCTCACGTTTTCCTCCAAAAAAAGGAGAAAAAAATAACAGCAACGAAAACGTTGTGTCCAGACCGATGACTAATAGGTTACTTTTTTCTTCTCCCTCTTCCTAGCCATGAGCAAGGACTGTGTGGCTAACTAAGAGGGGTATGTATGATAGGTGGGAAAGAGCAGAAGAAATCCTACAGAGGGCAAGCTGTCGAATAACTTCTGTGACATGTTACAATGGGAAGTAAAACCTTCATATTTGAGGTGGGGGGATCATTGTCTCAACTAATCTTGTCTGTGAGCAGTGGCGTAAAATAATTTTGCAACTCCATACCCTGAGCAACAAAAGCCCCATCCAGCCTTCTGAGATTTCCCAAGGCGGTACCTATGCACTCATCATCATCATCATCATCCATATGGACTAGCATCTTTTTTTTTTTTTTTAAGGAAAGCCATGCTTCTCAGCTTGCTTACACGTGACCCTCAGTTTGGTGATGATGGAGTGTTAGAATTCGAGGATGAAATGTGGCTTTTTAAAAAGAGTGTACGTACTTGTTTTCGTTCTTTGTTCTCTTATTGATACTAATTGAAGGCAGCTGAAGGTATGATAAAGAACATGTTATCTCTGCTGAGATGACATGTTATTTTTTAAAGAAAGTATTTCAAGTTATTTTTTATTTCCTTTGCACTGTAACACATTTTTGAAAGAAAGAAAAGAAAAACTGCTGGCCAAGGATCAACCAAACTCTTTTTAATTTCCTATCTTGAAGAATTAAAGCAAAACATGATTGGAGATGATATAATCGGAAAAGGTTTGGAGGCTTAGGTCATATTAATGCATTATTATCTTCTTTTCTCATGGTCATAAAAAGACTTAATCTTCACAGACTGACTGAGACCTTTCTGGGATAGTAGTGCCATTTGAAAGGATTTGAAAGGATCCCTTACTACCCTGTCATCGAAATTTCTCCTCATCTGACTTTCTCTTCAGTTTAGTTCTGAATTACCTGTTACTATTTCCAAGTTAAACAACACACTAATAGTTCCACCTCACTTGCTGAACAGAGCAAATGTTAAGCTGTTATCTTTCAAGTTCATTTTAATTCTGTCTCTTACCGATGGCCACATTCACTTCTGTTCATTCACTGAAAATAAAATAAAATATTTCAAAAGAAGGATGGAAGCAGTTCTAATTTTATTGTACATGACATTTGTCTGTTTGTGAGGTGTTTACCAACAATGTTGAGGAGCACTTTGGTATATCTAAAGTAGACTGGAAAAACAGTTGGTTATTTTGTTTAGCTAAACGCACCAACAGTGTGTGATTGTTTTCCATGCCTTAAGCAGCGTGGTTTTCTCTTCTGTGAAACTTGTTGGGTTCAGTGAAATACCTGTCCTTTTAGGGGTGTTTTCAGAGTGTGGTGTAGGGGTTGGGACCTTGACTGCATTCCGCAGCAGCCCCTTCCTTTGCAGCTACCAAATCAAATTGCAGTTTGGAACAAAATCTGTTCCAAAATACCCTCCATCCTCACTGCCACATCCTTGGAGGTATCTGAAGGCTGCATTTTCCCCTTTCCCCACATTCTCATTCAGATTTGCTACAACACTGCAAGGCTGACCGAACCATAGAGTCTCGCCCTCAGCAATCTGATATAATGAGGATGGATAAATCTGCAACGGAACCGAAAAGGTAAGTTTGTAAACTCGGGGGTGGCGGAGAACCGACTGCTGTCTGCCTAAGAGCTGAGGTTTGAAAGTTCATGATCTGTGCTGAAATCATGTTGTTCCCAGAGGCCTTCCTTGTCAGCAAAGTTATCCTGTCGATGTTATGTTGTC